TCCATGTATCAGACCTGCTCCTTCATGGATCCAACTGCGTAATGTATAGAAATCAATTCTATAACCTCAATAAATGTATAGAACCAGGTAAGATGCGACCATTGCGGACAATTGCTGGTCAGAAGCTGCAGCCACATGTACCGGCTGCAGTCATCCACCAGCAAGATGAAGTACTTGCGCCCGTTAGGCGTCGCCGGCGTGATCGGCCCGCAGAGGTCACCATGGACCAGCTCGAGGGTCTCTGCCGCGCGGTACTTCGCCATCTTCGGGAACGGCAGCCTTCTTTGCTTCTCGACCAGACAGCTATCACACAGCTCGCCTGCATGCTCAATGTGAGGCAGCCTAGTCACCATCTTCTCCAGCCGACCAAGAGCGTCAAAGTTGAGATGTCCATACCGGGCATGCCACAGCCACGGCTCCTTCGTGTGCCGTGCAACCAAGCAGATGGGCTGCTCCACCTTGAGGTCAAGCAGGTACAGCCGATTCTGGGACCTCTTCACCTTGGCAAGAAGCCACTGCTCCCGGTCCCTGATCCTGAGGACGTCGTCCTTGATCAGTACCCGCTGTCACGCTCATCCAGCTAGCCAATGTTGATGATGCTTGAACGCAGCTGTGGGATGTAATATACATCCGTTAGCGCGCGGTGCTCACCGTTCTGGTACCTGAAGATGATGGTGCCGCGTCCTCGGATTGCCACCCTTGAGCCGTCACCGAACTTCACCGTGCTGGTCACATCATCGTCGAGCTCGGAGAAGGCTGCCTTGGAGCCCGTCATATGGTTGCTGGTGCCGGAGTCTAGGTACCACCGCTGCTCCTGTCCATCGTCCACACATCCGAGGTGGACTTGGGTGCGTGGTTCGTTGAGGTGGACAGCCTCAGGGCCTTGCCGTGCCCTTCCACCGCCATCTCTCTCCCTTCTCCTTGGCCTCAACGTTGTGCAGTGCACAGAACGTCGCCATCAGGAGAGTGGCCTCATTATCATCATCAGCCTACGCCAGATGAGCCTCAGCCTTCTTCTCCTGCTTACGATTTGGGCACTCCTTTGCCCAATAGTCCGTCTTCCTACAGCGCCAGCAGGCGTTGGGATCGACCTTCTTCTTTTTCTTTGAAGAAGCCTTGCCGTGGCGCTTGCTATCGCCATCGCGGCTGGAGGAGGCTTCCTCGGACTTCGTCCTCTGGGCAACCCACTCCTCCTCTGTCAGCTGCAGCTTGCTGCTGTCCGTCATTGCTGTGACCTGCTCCATGCGCTCATCCACTGCCCGCAGATGACCTGTCATATCCTCAATGGTGAGGATGGACAAGTCTAGCATCGTCTCTATGGAAAGAGCGATCTGAATGTACTTCATTGGCACGGAGTGGAGGTACTTGGAGACCGCCTCTTCTTCATCGATGGTGACGCCATAGCTTCTCAGCTTACTGATGAGCGACTGCAGGCGGAGGGAGAAGTCCTCCACCGATTTATCATCCTTGAACTTGAGGGTGGCGTACTCCTGTTTCAGTAGCTGGGCCGTCGCCTTCTTTGCGTGGTCGGATCCGACGTGCATCGCTGCAATGGCCTCCCACGCCTCCTTAGTAGAGTTCTTCACCCTCAACGGCTCCCTATATTCCGCTGGCACAGCAACGAGGATAGCCTCCAACGCTGATATGTCGTCTTCTTCATTGTCGGTGCCCTTGTCAATAGCATTCCAGAGCCATCGGACTCTGAGCTTGACCTTCATGGTCACCGCCCACTCGCCATAGTTGGTGCGAGTCAGCGTCGGCCAACTGGTGCCGCTGACCTCCCGCACTGTGCGCACGAACACCTCCTGTCATGGCTGGGCAGCCACAGCAGCGCCGCTGCTGTCGTCCATCTCCAAATCGTCCGTCATCGTCAGCGGTTAGTCCGGCAACGGCGCTTGTATGACTCCGATACCACTTGTTGGCCCCTGGATCAACAAGAACGGGTGAGCCAGCCACTCCCCGGCGTTGCCGACCACACACTATGGCTAGAGATAGAAGAAGAGAGGGAGAACAGAGCGCACACACACAACACAAGCACTAGTATTGGTCGGAGCTCTACAGAGGAGATTGCAAAACTGAACTCACTCTCTTTACTGAGTTGCAGTGGGAAACTATATATACAACTCTACCCATCTAATCCTAGTACATAGACATGTCAGGCTGCCATGCTGCTACAGTGACTAGATGTGACATTAGGGCTGACTTTGGTGCCTGCCCCTGCTGTGGTTACAGTACGGCAGAGGAGCCTTTCGGCGCCTGCCCCTGCAGCGGCTATAGTGCAGCAGCAGGGAGCCCTTTCGGTGCCTGCCCCTGCCGCGCGTTCACACAGGGGAGCAGCAGATTACTTAACAATTGTCATGTACACCATGAACATAATAAAGGCACAAGTTCTTTAATGCCTTGCACTTCCTCAGCAGACAACGAAGTCTTATTTCCTTCTCAGTTGAGACTCTTGCCAATGTCAAATCCTCCAAACTCTCACAGCTGAAATCATATCTAAACTGACAGTGCTCCACACAAGAAGGATCACGAGGATCAAATATATTGGGCAAACCTTTGATCTGAAGCTCAAACTTCTGAAGCTTCATCCATCCTGGACCGAACTTTAGTAGGTCAAACTGGTTGATCTTCTCACAAAAACTCACTACAAGTTCTTCCAATGATCCAACCCTGCCAAGGTACTCCAGCCACTTTTCCCTACCTACTACTTAATTGCAGCCAATAAGGTGGAGAGCAGACAGATTCTTGCAGCCAACAGCCACTGAGAGAAGCCCAGGAAGTTATTGCTGGTAGTGTGTTCAACCTCAGAGACTTCAGCTTCTTGAAGCACGCTAAAAAGCCAAGGCCTAAGTCATGAACATTCATGCAGAAGCTTAAGGTGAGATCAGTCAATGAGGGGCAGCAAGATGAAAACACCTAGAGGCCATGATCATCCAACGGCATCGCATGGAGTTTCACTTTGCACAAATTGGGGTACCAGAAGCACAGACGAATCAAGGCCATTGCAGGGTAAATGCCACAACCAAAGTACATGGAATTCCTCAGCTCTCCTTCAATGGCATATAGTTGCTTTGACACGAGAGAAAGAGATTTAAGATCACTTGGACCGGTAAGCCGCTTGACAATCTCTGCAAGTAGCACCTCTGGGAGATCGTCCATCGAGCAATGTAGCTTGGCTAGTCTGGCAATCTCAAGGTGTGGTAGGTATTCAAAGTGCGAGACTGAAATAAAGGAGATGGAATTCAGTACGAAGCATTGAAGATAATCAGATCATGGCACTGAAAATAATCAAGAAGTGAAAATGCATATGATGATATTTCGAAGCTATTATAACATATTAAAAGCTCTTCTGTCCATCCTAACATAGAGGCTACTAATTGAGTTAACTCAGCAACATCACATCGATATTAATTGGAGATAGATCATCGGTACCAAATCATTTCAATTACTCAGCTTCTTTTTTCATCAGGATACTGATCAGACCATTCAAGAGGACAAGTGGTACTCCATATATTCATATATTGATGTGCAAAACACATTGTGTGCACACAAATAGATGAACTTTTCTTTAGATAACACATATATGAAACATATAGATCAGTATGAACTAAGCAGATCATATAGAAGAGTGCATAATGATCAGATATGAAACTAAGGTCACACAGAAGAACTTTTGTGTCAAAATATCCTACATCTCCTAGAAGCCAAGAAGACGGCAAAATTAGGCAGCACGCTAAAAGGTTCATGCGCCTACCTGTTTACCTCATGAATTTGGGCATAGCCTGTGAACCTATTTATCGAGCCATAAATCACAGAACAAACATCAAGGAAGCGAGAAACACACCAAACTATATAAGACCCTAGTATGCACATTCCACTCAGACAGTTAAAACAAAGGAACTAGAAAATTTAGATAACAGACCACTTGGTCCAGCTTTTATTGAAATCCAACATATGGTAGTTCAGAATTGGTGATACCAGCAGTTTACAGGATATGAGTTCAAAACAGTCACACCGGTTTCAACCAACTCGAAGGACCACTAACAGCCATAGCTAAAACATTCCTCCGAAGAAATGACAGCGACCCACCATGAGCTGTCCCTCTTTTTTTTTTAAGTAAAGACAGGAACTCTGCCGCTCAATTAAGAATGAAATAGAGTTTTACAATGAAAAAAAAACCCGATCGTAGGACCAACTTAAACACCGGACATAAAGCCAACACAGAAGCCACCGCCCATGAGCTGTCCCTCTAAAACAGCACGACGACCAAAGCAAGTTTAGACGACAAAACAAAACGTTAGCATGCCAGTAACTTCTCCACCGTCCAAAGGAACTAGAAATTACTGGCTAACTAAACGAACAGGCGACGTGTAGTCATCTCCATATTTGGGAAACGCCTACCCAATCGCATCAAAATCTGCTGCTGAGATCAGCAGGGCAAGGAGAGGGAGGAAGAACCCAGCGCCATACCAGAAGTAAGAAGAGATCCCGCTAGGTGTCTTTTGGGGCGGGCGGAGCCGGTTGTGCCGCTAGGCAGGCGGCGGCGGCGCCATGAGCAGCAGAGAGAGCGCTACCGGACCGGGAGAAGAAGAGCACAAAACCCCCGGCTCGGGAGTTCGCCGCCACTGCGTGCGCTCCTCTGGAGCTGGGCTGGGCTGGGCTCCGCGGTAAGCAGAGAGGGAAAGTGGTCAGCCAGAATGGGCCTGGGCTTGGTCTTGTTCTGGGCCTGTCATTCGTTTTATTTTGCGGCCCAAACGAGAACTACCAGGCGAACGAACGAGAACGAGAACGAGCTGCGCTGCGTGGCGTGTGTGTGATTGGCGCCACGCGGCTTATCTTGGGAAATCCCGGCGGCCAATCACAGCCACCACCTTTGCTTGCCCTGCACGGCTGCACCTCCATCATCGCCAGCCAGTCAGTCCCCCAGCGGCCGCTACTGTACCCTCCTCAGCTAGCTCCGCTCCGATCCGTTCACCAGCGAGTACGTACGGACCAGACCAATGGCCCTGCGCATACCCACCATCTCCTCGTCCCACGGGCTGGCCTCCTCGCCGGCGCCCATCTCCACGACGTGCCGGCCGGCTGTCTTGGCGGTTGGCAGCAGCTGGGCGGCGGCGGCGGTCCAGAAGAGGAGCCTGCTGCTGGCGGCGACGGCCTCCGAGACGAGGGGAGTCGCGCCGGTGAGGTCGAGCGGGATCGAGACGACCTCAGTGGGAGCTGCGGCTGAGGCCGTCACCGGGCAGGTCACGGAGGTCAACAAGGACACCTTCTGGCCCATCGTCGAGGCCGCCGGCGACAAGGTCGTCGTCCTCGACATGTACACCGAGTGGTACGTGCAATTTTTTTTACTACTATAAGAATCTGAGACTGTAAATTGTAGAATCTGAGACAGTATTAATTCATTTGCAGGTGCGGGCCTTGCAAAGTGATGGCTCCCAAGTTCCAGGAGATGTCTGAGAAGAACCTGGACGTTGTGTTCCTCAAGCTCGACTGCAACCAGGACAACAAGGTACGTCAGCTACCTACCTAGATTACTTAGCTTTGATTGACATCTATGATCTATCTCTTCTCTTCTGTGTCTGTATTTCATTCATCACTGGCACTGCTAGTTGTGTGGAATATGTAATGGCATGCATGAATACTGAAAAAAAACCCCTGCTGGCCACTGTATTTGTGTGGCACTTGCTTGTTGTTGCAGCCGCTTGCAAAGGAGCTGGGCATAAAGGTTGTTCCAACGTTCAAGATCCTCAAGGGTGGGAAGGTCGTCAAGGAGGTCACCGGCGCCAAGATCGAGGAGCTAGCGCATGCCATCGACACAGTCAAGTCAGGCTGATCAGAAGACAAACAAAATGGCCTGAAAGTTAAGCAAGATCGATCCATGTGCGCGAATGAACTAGCGTACGTGATGCATGTAACTAGTGTAGACTGTGAATGAATGAGCCCACCACATTGCACCGCCCCTTTTGTGGGAGTAGATACTCATCAAACGTGCATGCAGAAAACAAGCTATTCTAGTTCTTCTGCTTATGATTTATCGATCGATCGGTCATCAAGACCGGGCAAATACACAATTAATCATTCATATGGATGGAGTGCTGCTAGCTCGTTGTAAATAACCATCATCAGGTTATCATCTTCTCGATTTCTTTTGTCTGTCTAATAACTGTCTGCTTCAGAGTTCAGAGCATTTGGTTTTCCGATCCTTGGACAAAAATTGTTGTGTGTGGTGCATGATCTGATTATCGATACATTGTTGCTCTGTTATGCGATGTCAGCTTCTAATGGAATCTGAAAAACATTTATCCTGACTCATGCATTGACTCTTGGGAACTGCAAGCATACTGCGCATATATGATCTTTTCATTCATCCAATAACAACTAATAACTTGTAGTAGGCACAACTAGAACGGTTGATGCAGCAGAGATAATCCCCCAAAACTTAATTCAGACAGCTTTTCCATATCATAGCTTCTAGTACGTCTTCTACCATGCAAAAACCCCATCGTGCACTGAAGCTTGGCTTCAGATTCTAGTATCAAATTCACAAAAACAAGTTATTCCAGAGGCATATAAGCATATTCCTGCACCGAACTCGAAAAAACACTGTCATCCCACGATGCTCCACGTTGCAAAAGCACTATAGTGGTTTTGAACTTTTGAAGGTCCACGTAGACAAAACACGTAGCGTGCAGGAAGGAGCACCAAAGCTTTTAAAAGAACCAATACACCAAGCCAACAAAGGTCCTGTTTTTTTGTCTTTACATGCTGTCAGTGCACAAGCATCGCCTTCGTCCTCTCAGGTGGGTATCTGCAAATATTGACATCACAAAAAATCTAATAAATTCGGGATTCAGCAAGACATCAGTGGTTGCATCGACCGTGGAGAAAAAAGCAAGCCCATAATATGCCAATCGATGTCCACTAGGCCACCAGATGGACTCCAGTTGGAGTTCTTAATGTCCTGCTAAGGCCTAAGTCAACCTAAAAGACTAGTCTGAAATATGAGAGCTCCTTCATCATCAATTTTCAAAGTGGGCTAAACCTAACAAATGCAAAAAAACTCAAGCATCAACTATTGCAATGGTAAACCACAACACTTAGAGGAGAATATGCTACAAGCTTGTGAATATTCTTTTAACGAATATGCTAGGAATACTTGTTGAGGCATCGATGAAAAAACAACTTTGTGGCTATTCTAAGAGCCTTTTTGTTTAGCTATGAGCTTTGAGATGTGGAAAAGCTATTATAAGTTATGTGTTGTGAAAAGGTTATAAGTTGTTTGGTTAAAACAATTATGAAACCTGCTCTCTCTCTCTCTCTCCGTGTCATTTGAAATAGCCGTAAAACATCTCTTTATTTGCATTCATTTGGAAAAGTAGAAATTTAAAAGTTAAAAGGAGGGAGAGAAAATGATATTAGTATGCTCTATGCTGCGTAGAATCTTAGACCCAAGATATAACTCAAAACCACCTATCAACATATGTTCTAACTACAGAGAAAAAACTTGAGCAATTGTTCCTATCCTCTTGCACTACGGAGATAAGCCCATGAAACTATGTCATCCTCTTGCAAAAAGGTATTTAGAGCATCTCACATGTCACATAGAACAATAGTTGCATAGTTCCTCGTTTCATCGAGCGCCTTGGCTAGCAGGATTCAAGAAAGAAGGTGCCAGCCCACACCTTGGAAGCCGCTCATGGTGAGCAGGTGTAGGTGGAATACATTGACTAATTGACATATCCTCCTCTTTTCCATTAATGCATTGAGGCCCTTATTTCCAGGTTTCAGTGATTGGTGAACATATGGCTAACTTTTTGTTTTGCGGTGATAATGGCAAAGAGTTAGTCCAATTGAGGCCATTTTGTTTTCTTGGCCCTCTGAGTTTGGATTTGGCATATTTTGCAACTTGCAAGGTTTTGTGAAGGCTAAGTACATGATAGTGTGTCTAAGTGCAATTTGGATTTGATGATGGGAGCACTTAGATGTAGTGCTACGAGACTAGTAGCTTATCAGTGTTGTAGTGAGAGCGCTTTGATGCACACATGACTCCAATCAAAACTGATGAAGAGCGACCGGAACAGATGTTAGAATTTATGTAGGATCTCTGGTACGCCTAGAGGGGGGGTGAATAGGCCTGTAAAAATTCAACTCAAACCAAAGTCAAATTCACCCGCGGCATTGCCGCTCTGTAAGTGAGGCACTGCCAGTGCCGCACCTGCAGGAGAGATTAGTTCACAGTTTAAAATCTACCCAACAAAATTTAGATCGGATAAATTTCTTAGCTTCCTACAGGGTAGTAGATCATAGATCGACAGCTGAAAGTGGTGGGAACACCACACACAAGTAGATCGGTCTCAAACCCTAGAAATCACCTCAAGAACACAAGTAGCAACACAAGCACAAGATGACATAAGGATTTATCCCGTGGTTCAGCTCGCCACCAAGGCTTGCCTAAGTCCACGTTGTTGAGGTATACCACTAAGACTTAGGGCTTTGCAACCCTACCTCGTTCTCAAGTCAAGAGCGTGAACTCTTGAGATGAGGGGTGATTTTACTCGCTGCAAGAGGTGGTTACAAACCTCCCGGGGCTACCACAAACCTAGCAAGCTCATCGGGCGACGCTCTAGCCAGCTAGAAGCCAAGCTCCAAGAGTAACAAACACAACCGCCGGCCAAAACATGAACCAAATGCTCTTTAGGCTTTGGGAATCAGTAGAGCTGCTCTCTAATCACTTTTGGCATCTTTTTCTCTCAAGGATTGATGGGGAAGTCAAAGAGAAAGCTTGAGAGCTTGAAGGGCACCAATGGAGGAGAGAGAGAGGAGATGAGCACCTGCTGATTTTCGTCGGTCTGAACCGTTGGGGAAGAAGAGAGAGGCGTTATGCAGGATAGGGAAAAGTATAAATACTCCCCTGCCTTCCAATGGTTACTTAAGTGCGGCTGTGCCTCTCTCCAGGTGCGGCACTTTCGCACCCAGCAAGACAGCAAGGGTGAAGGAGTTGTTAAGTTGGTTGTCTTGGCTGAGGTATGAAGATGTTTTGTGCAAAGATTGAGCATTTGGTTGCACACTTTTAACCGGTTGTAGTGTTCCCCTTTATAGTACGGCTTTTTCCATACTCAATTTTAAAAGACAAAAGAATTCAAAACTCCTTTGAGCGCGATATCGTCCTTATTTGTAATTAGGGGCTCCTCCTTTCCATGTGACATCTTCTATAATGAATTCTCTACTTGTCATCTTAATAAATCTCATTAGGTCTCTAATTAGGTGGTCATCAACACCAAAACCCACATTAGGGCTTGATTGCACTTACAATCTCCCCCTTTTGGTGATTGATGACAACCCAATTAGAGCTTATAAAAGATATAAAATGAATAACTGAGATTTTTTTTCGAGCCATGGGTGTAGAGCCTCCCCTAAATATGTGAATAGAGAATTGAATTCTCAACTTGGTATAAGAGGCCAAGATTCACACTTTAGTGAAAGTGAAAATTGGGGCTCCCCCTACATCCATGCCTTTGTGGGGTGCTGCACATAGTGTCAAGAAAATATATACGTGATGCATATGATAGATCATGCACACATGTGCTTGCTGCTGCAGCTGAGTGCGGCACTGCCGCACTAGGAGTGTGACACTGCCGCACCTGACTGTACGAGCAAGACAGAGTCAAGCACCACACAGCTAGCTTAGATAAAAAAAAGATATTCAACCTAGCACAATAAGATGACTTCTAATCCACACAAACGATACATGTCCATATCCGATACACAAAGAGTCAAATAGTAGCATTATTTCACAATTTAGAGTTTTGAGCGACTCTCAAACTTTCCACCTAGCGAAGACTAACACTCATTGAATAGGACATGAAGCGCAACTGCTGACCATGACGTCGAAAAGTTGTTGACCCCTCTAATTTCTCCCCCTTTGGTATAAAGCACCAAAAAGAGAAGAAAAGAAGAAAGATCAACACCTACTTGTCATCTCCCTAGATGTCCATCCTATTAATATCGTCATCTCCTGCTGCCCTAGCACCTCCTGCAGCAGTCCTGGCACCACCATCACCGTCATCGTCGTCGGAGTCAATACGTGCACGGCCCTGATGGTGAGTAGTGGTTGTGTAGAGTGGAACGAGTGGAACGCCTCGGCTCCCATCTCTGACGGTATCCCTCCAGGGTCTCATCCCAATCTGCTGCTCATCCCTACTGCTCCTCCTCATCATCATCCTCATCATCTGAATCTGTGTCGGAGAGACTCGAAAGGTCATACTATGGAGGAGGTAGAATAGGAGGAAGTGGTGGAAGGTCTTGTCCACGCTGCTGACACTGCTCAAGCTATGTCTCATATGCTCTATCAGCTGTATAGGTGCACTTGCCAAAGATTGCCTTCAACCACTTATCAAACTTCTTCATCTTGCCTCCTCTGTGAGACCTAGAGCGGGAAGACTCAGGGATATCTACATGAGAATGAGAGCTCCCCGCTCCCTAAGTAGCTATAGCTGGCTGGGTCTTCTCAATTTTGTAGACGGTGTGCATCCCATCCTTCGGAAAATAAAATCCAGTGACCCTCTCAATCATGAACATGAGATAAGGGGCATAGGGAAGCCCCCTCCTCTCATCCTCCACTGCAAATCTCAACTTAGTCCACATGAATCTAGGGACATTGAACCTGTCACCACCTAGAGCAAATCTAGTCAACACATTTCTCACATAGCCATTAATATCTGAGGCTCCATCCTTTGGGTTGATGGTGTTCATGATAAGGTTGTTGAGGATGTAATAGAAGCTGTGTAGACCACTCCTCTTGCCATATGCAATCCTTCTATCTCTCCACATGTA